ACCATTTTTTTGCATCTACCCTCTGGGAAAGTGTCACATAACTATGGAAAAATCAGCATTTTGAAAAGGTGAATTGAAAAATCGCTGTGCTCGTTTACCAAAGGTTAATTCCTACTTCCATGATGATTTACTTGTCGACTCCACGATGTTACCAGTACCCAGCAAGTGGACCATGTACGGAAAAGTCGTGGTGTCCGACTCTCACAAGGCCCCGAAGTTGAGAAACTACAAAATGGTGTCCCAGTTGGCATCGCTAAGTTGGTAAATATCATACCCATATGCGAACCATGGTGCTGGAACATGTTCCTACATTTGCCCTAATAATCACCCAAATGTAGGTAAATATTCCAGCACCATGGAGCATATGGGATAAATATTCAGACTCAAACCATAACTCAAACTTAACTGTTGGCTTCGTAGTTTTGTTTTTTTGCACTAGTTAAAGAAGCTAACATAAAACCCACAAAAATGGGGGGTCACCACCTTATCCACCTCATAGCTTGTCCGATGGCAGGCAAGGCCAGGGCCCCTCGTGAAATTGTGAATCAATTTTCGGCACCGTTAAACCCCAAGTTACTATCCCGGCCTGTCATGAAAAATAATGTTCATCAATTTCCTAAGAAAATGACAAGAAAATAATAAAATCATAGAACATCGCAAGTTCACCAAGATCCGGAAAGACTGAAACAATATCAAACATCGCGTGCAGCACTGTCCGGGACTCGCCCGCCTATCTTCTCTTGAAATCGACAATGAAACCTCTTGTCGAACTTCTTGATGATCTTTCCTCAGCTCACTTTAAGGGCCCAAAAAAAAGGACCGGTCATTTCCGGTATACCACCATTCATAAAAGAGGCTTTCCAGCCGTCACATCTTTTGGTCCATCATCATTTTATATAAGGTATATATATATAGAGAAATCAAACCACTTGTATAAAATAGGATCAAACCATATCCTGATCATTTGATCAAACCATATTTTATAGGCTTTTCAGCAAATCAAACACTTTGTGGTTTGCTGATCTCCTACTAAGTCCAATATTTCGTGGGAGGTGTATGGTGCTCACCACTCCAATCCCCCAAAAAAAACAACGAAAAACTCTCCGAGGATGGTTCCAGTCTGTGAAACCATCGAATACCAACAGACCAGTTTGAAGGGTAAATCAAATACCAGATGCATATCGATGGTAAATCCAAATACCAGATGGTTCCATTGATAGTACTCTGCAACCATCAAATCTCACGCTTTCTTCTTCTGTAAAGTTCAGTTGTGAACATTGATCCAACCCAAACGATCAGATGATGCTTGGAAAACAACAACGACAACAACAACAACAACAACCACAACAACAACAACCACAACAACAACCACCACAACCACAACAACAACAACAACCACAACAACAACCACCACAACCACAACAACAACCACAACCCAAATAAAACATTGGAAACAAAAAACGTCTGACCACAAACAAACCATCCGGAATCGAATCCGACGATTTGCAGTTGAAATACCTGTGACATTTCTGTCGAGCAGTGTTCCTGGTTTTTCGCCACAGTCCCGAAAAGTTGCATCTCAGTATGCTACAGAAGAGAGATTTTTCTTGTTTGTTGGGTGAGTTCTGGAGAGTTGTGATACTAAAAATACTTAGCATGAAACTGTTTGCCCTTTTTCTTCAACATTTCAATGGGAATTCCAGGATCCTAAAATGGAGGAATGATCCTGCCTTATATATGGTAGGTACCTCCAATTTAGGATCCTGAAATGGCCATTGAACATAGTTTTTCAACAATCATGTGGGTAGTCAAAACACAGTACTGTACCCCTTCTGTTCACATCATAGCTGGGATGTTTTTTTTATATTCATCCCCGAAGGAATTGTATAGCTATTGATCCACAGCCATACTGGCTGTGGGGCCCCAAACGTTATAAATTGGTTGAAATAAACCCCATTGACTGTAGTTATTTGATGTTATTTGCGTATTATACCCTCTGGTGAACGTACCAAAAGCTATGGAAAATGGCCATTGAAATAGTGAGTTGTCCCATTAATAGCATGGTGGATCTGTCCATAGTTTTTTGGTGAACGTTTACCAGAGGGTAATTTGAAAAGCCAAATTAGAATTTCACCCGATGAAAACTATAGCTATAAGTATCATAAACATTCATTCATAAATCATAATTATTGGAGGTATGTATTGAACCACAATAGTTATATATAAGTTGGTTTATAAACTCCATTAACTATAGATATATCATTACCATAAACCATAGTTATTGGAGCTATAAATCAACTTAGCTAACTATGGGGCACCACCTTGTAGCTAGAGGTATGTTCACCAACTTAGCCATCTAGCCATCGGCGGCCCAAGCTTCTCATCGCTTCAAAGGTCAGGTCCTAAAAACGCGACCAAGAAAGGCCAACGGTTTTTGTTGGTGCCACATCAAAATGGGGACGTTGCAACATCCAAGATGATTTAACCATCAAAAGTGGTGGTTTAACATGGTTTGAGGATAGATTTTTTTCGTGCATGGCCGTGGCCGGGGCCGCGTGGCCGCGTGGCCGCGTGGCCGGGTGGCCGGGTGGCCGGGTGTCCGTGCTGTGTGGCCGGTGTCCCGTGGCCGGGTGGGCCGGGTGGCCGGGTGGCCGGATGGCCGGGTGGCCGGGTGGCCGGGTGGCCGGATGGCCGGAAGGCCGTGGCCGCGTGGCCGGGTGGCCGTATGGCCGGGTGGCCGGATGGCCGGGTGGCCGGGTGGCCGGATGGCTGGGTGGGCGGGTGGGTGGGTGGGTGTGGCCGGGCGGCCGTGGCCGGATGGCCGGATGGCCGGTTGGCCGGGATTTGTGGGTGGGGAGGAGAGCATTGGAAGTTGATTGTAATTTGCTTACCGCCAATTTCAAGTATGTCAGTATGCCCCAAGCAGAAACATCGATTTGTGTGCTAATTCCTACACACATGATGTATAAACTAATTCCCCTTCAAAACAACACGATCACTCCATGCAGTTCAGTTCTTGCCTCTTTTGTCAAAGCTTTGGTTCGGGTCAAGCATTGCCATTTGGATCCCGTGAGCGAAATCCGGAGATCCAAGTAGTCTGGCGACTTGAAATGTCCCATTTGGGTTTCACCGACTTATTACGCTTGAATATCTTGAAGCTGGTGACGGAAAACGATGATGCAGAAACATCAAAACCTTTCCCCTGTTGAAATCACAGCAGGTCATGTTCAGCGACCCTAGTTCCACTCAGTCAGGCAAATGGGACTAAACTATAGCACCTGCACAGCCCAAAGCAAGGTCAGCTGTCAGCCATGGCAATAATTCATCAGAGCCAGGCATGGCGCAATCTACTGTTTTAAAGGAACCAAAAGTGACACATAGAAAATTGCAATATATATATATAGAGATATATATATATATATATATAAATAGGTACAGTTAGGTTCTCGGAATATAGATAGATCGATAGATAGATAGATATATATATATATATAAATGGCAAAAACGTTGCCGTTGGGTCTAACGCGGCAGGCTCAAGCGATCAAAACTCACGATTCGCTGCTACCAGTCTCAGTGCGGCAGGTGTGAACCTGAATATGATGCCCGGAATCACACTCGGTGAGGCTGTACAAAATTAGAAAAACAGGTGCGTGAGACCTCAAACTTTATATTTGGACATCTCATGGGAACTACAAAGAAGCTGTAGGGGACCCCAACATACACATGAGGATAAAACATGGGAATACAACTATAGGTTGGATAGGGAGATCGTCAGCCTTGGTAAATGGCCTTACAAGGCTTTAGAAGAGCTTATGAACACTGTATGTAGATATGAATTCATTTCTCACAAAAAAACATTGTCCGAATTGGAATTTAAATGGGTGAGTCTATGGACAGATATATAATGAATTAAATGGTGCCTAATTTCAGACAATCACATATGGAGAATCCAGCATAAATCAGGAGTGACGCGCGAGTCACATTTTCGGATGATTGTTGAAGTAATGGTAATGGTAACAAGGAGATGGAAATAATTTACTTATTTATCTATTTCCCAGCTATTTATTCATGCTTGTATGCTTACATTTAGCAACATATCATGGCGAATTTTTCGTGAATATCTCAGTGAAACGGTAGATAACACCCGTTTTGAAGCAATGTAAATATGGCTGACCACAAATGGGCTATTTGCTGAATATGTGCATGATATCTAGTGTTAATAAATTTCAAATAACACCCACTACCCCATTATATACTATTGCACATCCTGATATTGTATATCCTCACACAATCTCGGTGGAAATGCCTATTTCGGTACGTTTTAAAAACTAACCAAAAGGTATGCCCGAATACGGCGATGCCTTCTGATTAGGCTCCACATCTACTACTGCTGTCATATTCCTTGTTTTCTTTAAGGATATCTCTACCATCTCATCATTGTGGTTGACTTTATACATCCATGATATTCCTTTCTACAATACCCCATAAAAATCCTGTGTGCACACCACTCCCCAAGTAGACCCCAAAGGGCAACACTTCCATGGTGATGGGCATGAACTATGTTAACTATGTAATGAACAATGAAGGACCATGATAAACAAAAAACAACTATCATCCCTTCAATCTTTTGACATATACCCACTTGTTCTTGGATGAGAAATATGTCTTTTTCGGGGTCGGAGAAGGATTTGATACCACGTTCGTATTTATACAAATGTAATGTAAATGTATGTAAAAAAGGAGACAGCATGGCCTCTGCAGCAGTAGTGATGGCGCGTCATCCTGTCAAAGCTGGTCGCCCGTGTGTTTTATCGAGTGACAACAACGTAACTCAAAATTTGGAAGGAAATCGTCGACAAGCGCAAAGAACTCTTGCGGGAATGCGAATGTTTCCCTTTCTTTCATATGGTTGCCTGTACTGTTTACCTGAAACCGTGTGCATGGATGAGTTCATGAGAAGTTCGAAAACGAAAGGTCGGAGAGAAGGTTGGATTGTGCCTCGTCCACGTTTCTTAGCGTCTGCCCGCTGCTTGTCACGCAAGGCCAGGAGGCGACTCAGATTATGCACATCCGTGCATTCGCTGACGACAAGTTGCGCAAAAAACTTGCCCATGTGGTGAATGGTATGACCAAGTGGGGTCATTTCACTGTTTACGATCTCTGCGATTTCGGTCGGAAAAGTTCCAAGCAAGCGCTTGTTGTCTTCAATGGTTGGTAAGCAATGCTGCGCGCAATATTCCCCACAATGGCCAGGCGCATGAAAGCGATCTACAATGTAATCCATTGCTGCCAATCGCTCCGCTACGGCAGTACTGCGCCGATGCTGGAGCGCGAAGAGCTTGAGATGACATGCGTCATCGTGGCAAATAATGGCCAGCTGTGGCCAGCGAGTTGCCAATGTACTCAAAAAACAATAACGTTGGGATAAGCTTTCTGCACACACGAGCTCTTGAATATCGACAATCATTCCTGGCAGGGGTGAGTGCGAGGAGATTGTGATGATTTGACCAGAAACATGAGCCAAGGCCAAATCTACCTACGCACCACATGCTGAGCATGCCTATCAAAAAAGAGGTGGCTACATAAGTCCTCCAGAACTCACCGCCAGCAAGAAGCCAGCTGACTTGGATGCCGCAGCAACGTGCTGCTCGCCTTCCTTGTGCGTCTGACAGGAGCTCTCTGCCCGCGCTTGCTCTGAAGACCAAGGAGCCAGGTACTTGCGGCTCCGTGGCCTGAAGCCACGCCATTTCTGGGACCGGACCTCTTCGCGCCGCTGTCGCCTGACAGGTGGAACAATGACAGTATGTGTGTGTGTGCGCGCGCGTTTGCCTGCATCAGGTAAACAGAAAAGGTTGGCTGAAAACGTCTCCAGTATCCTTATAAATATCTAAATATTCAAACGTAAAAACAAATAGACTTTTTTCAAATCTACAGAAAGGAAAATATACCAATAAGTAATTATATATATATATATAGATATATAAGGACCGGATGTGTGGAAGACTAACTGGAGTCGCCTGCGGCGGATGGTGCCATCAGCGAGTTTTGCAAAGTAACGGTTCAGCACCGTCTGGTTGACTGTCTCCGCCGGCTGCCACCCAGCGAAGCCGTCCATCTTGACTTCAAGGTAACAGACATCAGATTCTGCGTACAAAGCCCGTTTCAAGCGGTGAGAAGCAACTTCGCCTTCGCCAGGATTCGCTTGCAACAATGAATCTCTTTGTGATGCATGGAAAGGACATAAGGTTTCTCTGCCATGAGGGCTGCGGGAGCAAGCTCGCAAGAGAAATTTCTCGATAGCGGGATAATAGACCACTTCCGCATGTGGCTGCCCACAAGTGCGCCTGTGCAACTGTGCGTTGCCATCGATTGCGCAAATGTCGAGACGGTCGCCGGAGGTCAGGAGTTGTGTCCACCGCCTCTCACGGTTGAAAACTAGAAAACCTTGATGTGTTCAAATTCAAGTGCGACATCGCTGCGATGCTGTTTGCGCGTGAAATCCGGCGCCCTGGTGTCTTGTGCTTGTTTTTCTGATACATCTTTAGCTCAACTACTCTTCGACGGATTTCCCCCGCCCTCCCTCCCCCCTCCTTCCCCGCCCTCCACCTGTCCTGTTCAGAAGCTAAAGTTTAGGCTAATATTCCCCTTCCACGGATTTTTGACTTGGCCATCTCACATCTTCTCCTCAACAAGACTGCAGCACCTTCGCAAACAAAGACCATCGGATGCCCATAGCATGGATCTAACCGAAACCCTTCCAGCAAGGTCGTTTCAATGAAAACCAGACATCCAGCAATGCCCCAAATTTGTTCAAACGATCAAAGCTTTCCTTCCTAAACCATTAGATTGCGTACTTACCGCCAAACTGCCAGAGGTGCCAGAGGTCCGGCGGCATGCCGAAGGCTGTGAAATTTGAAAGGCAAAAGAAGAATCCTTACCTTTGGCCCAACCTTTGAAACATCATCGGCTCATACCAGGACCAATTGACTTCCAGCAGCTTCTCCAAAGGTAAAGCCAGGAGTTGTGAAGCAAGGCGCTCGCGCACCACTGGCTCTGCATCAGCAGATCTGCGCCACAAGATTTCGCGGCCCCATGCACGGGCTAGCTGCAATCTCACCTGTGCTTGGACAGTTGGGTCCAAGAGACGCAGCAGCACACCTTCATGCAAAAATGAAGCACGATGTAGGTACATCCTGTAGCGCCACCTCCGCAGCCAGCTGCCAGCAACACCTAACTTCTTGCTGACAAAGAAATAGAGCGGATGAGGGTTATCAACCTGCTTGACCCATTTGCCGTTGATCAAGATCTCCTGAAAACCGCACCAAAATTTTCTTACCAATGGACATGTGGAGCAAATTTTGCTCACATGCCAAGCATGGAGGGTTTCGGGCTCAGCAATCAGCTGACATTGCACTGCGCCCCGCTGACGTGGCCGGCGCTGTTGCAATGGAGACTCACAGACGGGGCAGCACCACCTGGAGGAACAAAGCACTTCCATGGCCATTCACCTAAATTCCAAGGCGTGCGGATTTTTAAGCAAGATCTGCATTCTGTACTTTTGGAGAACTTCTTCTGTTGGTGCCTGTCTGACTATAGCCTGGGGAGTGCCAGAGATGTCAATGGAAGAGTGAGCTGGCACCGGAAGGAAACCATCTCTTACAACGCATGTCTGTCAAAGCGTGTTTGCCTTATGCGCCATGCTGATTTTTGAACAGCCACAAGCAGCAGCCAGAGTCAGTTGCATGTGCACCATTTCCATTGCTCTCATTGCAAATGCATGCAAGCGTGTGTGGCTAGAGCTTTTTGAAGTAACATCATTGTCTTCACTGGGCAACGCTTTGCTACCTATCTTTTCCCACTGAAGTGTTTGAAGCCATGCTGTCAAATGAAGGCATCAGTCAGTGCAGTCGGTGAGACGGCGGCGCCTAATGGAGGCCTTGGTATACCTTCATGTCATGACTTGTGAAGGAGACGGCGTGTTTTGGAGAAGTTTGCGGACGCTGAGATTTCCATGTAAATTTTGTCGGTTTCCATGTAAATTTTTGTCGGTTTCCATGTAAATTTTGTCGGTTTTGCAAGTAGCACCAAGTAGGTGCTCAAGATTGCCCAAGTACTAAAAAAGTACGTGGCAACAAATATGTGCGCAAGTGCAAAAGAAGGTCTTTCAACGTAGCATCAAGTAGGCGTGCAAGTACACAAGAAGTTTTTCATATGGCACTAAGGAACATCAAGTAGGTGCACAAATGCAAGAACAGTCTATTTCTTTGTCGACAAGAAGCGAGGCGTTATTGGCAGCTGGCTGCGGAGGTGGGGCTACAGGATGTACCTACATCGTGCTTCATTTTTGCATGAAGGTGTGCAACTGCATCTCGTAGGCCCAACTGTCCAAGCACAGGTGAGACTGCAGCTAGCCGGTGCATGGGGCCGCGAAATCTTGTGGTGCAGATCTGGTGACGCAGAGCCAGTAGTGCGTGATCACGTAGGCGTGCAAGTGCGAATGAAATTCGTAAGCTGCAGGTAGCGTCAAGTAAGTAGACGTGCAAGTACATGAACGTTCCTGCCCGCTCTGCTACGCTCTGAAAGAAAACAACGGTTTCATATCGCACGGGCCCTGGCGTGATCCTACGCCATTTACTAGAACTTGCGCCAGCCGCATGGCACACCACTTACGCCAGACATCAATAATCTTCCGCCAGGTGGAAATCCTATTGGCACACCGACGGTCAAAGTGGACTAATTCTGATGCAGGCAACTCAAATATATCTATTTATTATGCGTTTAATGTACGCTTGCTGACCAAAAGTTGACAACCATATGCCTGCTTGAACAGTCACAACTATCATCCTCCGCATGGCACACAAAATTTCATGGCATTTCCAACGTACAAACTTGGATGTGATCGACGTTACATTCCCATGGTTTTTACGATAAATTCTACTTCATGCCAATCAACCGTTTCATCCACTTCCCCGTGGCACACTGCTGATCAATAGGCGCTGCCCATGTGGGCCTTTCCCCGCCCCATAGGCACACTACGATTTGGCACAAGATCTTGTCATCGGGACTTGTTACAACATCGACCCAGTAACGTCAATTGAGTGCGCAAGGGCAAGAAAGAAATTGCCTCAAACCACATCCACCCCCACCTTTTTTCTAGCACAACCCCATGGAGACACCAACTTCACGTGGATCCCAAAAATATGTTCAAATTCAAGGGTTCATGCGGACACCACATGCGGGCGCACTTTTTGCGGTTGTTTCAAACATGTGTCGATGCGCAAGGCACCATGGTACACCGTACCCAAAGATATTTTAGGACAGATACCCTTGTGAGCACATCCCATTAACCATGTTCATGGAGGTCCCAAAGTTATGATGTTCAAATTCAATCATGCCATGCTGACGCCATATCGTGAGACATGTTTTGCGGTTGAGTCAAATATATTCAACTGCAAAACACCACGGGACACCGCATCCGAAGATATTGGAAGTGCAAAACGCCATGGGCCACTGTATCCAACTGTATTCTGAACTATTTTTCTGTTTTATCTGCGTGACAAGAGTTGGGAACAGAACTGATGGCGGCACATGCAATCAGAATCCACGCGCCCCTGGAAAAGATGCGACTATGCCACTATATTATACTATAACAACAAATGCTGCATGCCTGCGCACCAGAACCGCAAGGGGACACCGTTTACGCACGACGTGACACAAGCACCTGCACCCAGTATAACCTTGGAGATGTGAGCTCACCACTGACATGCTTTCGGCCCCGCCTGTGCCACAACACCTTCGCTTCAACATGCGCTGCTGCTGGCAAAGTCAAAAGCCAAAGCGGGTATGCTGAACACTTTTGCTGTAACATGCGCTGCTGCTGGCAAAGTCAAAAGCCAAAGCGGGTATGCTGAACACTTTTGCTTTAACACGCGCTGCTGCTGGCAAAGTCAAAACTGGTGCACGATGTATGTCCAAAGCAAGTTACGCCATCTCAAGCCCTTCCACCGGGCGGAGTAGGTGGCGCAGGGAGGCCACTTTGGGATGGAGATGGTGCTGGCGCAGCGGCGCTGTGGCCGCGCTCCCCTGGCTGAACACTGGTGGACCGCTGCTCTTCATTATACAAGCCACGTCTCTCTGACACTTGTCTGAGAGAGACCCGGCCACACTGCAAAATGTCGTTGTGAAACAAAATTTGGTTTCTTTTCGAGTTGCTCCACGACTTTAAGACCAACGTACACTCCTTGCTTGAAACATTCAAAGAGCCAATGCGTGGATAGCGCTGCACCGCCTTCTGCAACACAGACTTGACCTGTCCAGTAAACAAATCTGTGTGTTCACACATGGCATCCTCAGTGCAATGAATCAACATCTTTGTCTTTTTGTCTTGCACCTTGTACCTCAAATCTGATTTCGGAATTAAATGCCTAGACTAAGTATCTCGCACTGTGGAAGTAAGGACTGCACCTCGATATTTGCAAATCATAATTGAAAATATGAAAACAACAATCTTGAATCTTAAATGTAAAAGCACGCATAAGGTCTTTGATGAGGTAGAATTATCTTCAAAAAAAGGCCCATGGCCATTGAAGCGCTTTGCTATAGCTCTTTCAGAATCCGAAACAAGTCCTGCTCAGGGAACCACCCTTGCCAAATGCGTTCAACCTTCCGTGCCGCAAAATCGATGAAACTGAAACACCATTGACTGCATATGGCATATGGCCCCACAAGTCGCCCACAACACGGGCAAGAACAGAATGGGTCTGAGCAAGGATTAGTTTGGGCCACAACTGATGTCGAAGACAAGACTTGCCTTGGCAATTGTTGGTCTGACTTTCTTGCGCTTCTTGTCCTTCCCCGTTCCGATAGTCTGCACCACATGATAAAGATCCACTAGCTTCGAAACCTTGAACTCGCTGCCCCCGTGAAGAAGAATTTTTCGAAGAAGCTGACGGTCTTGCAGAGGGGAGGGAAAAACCATCTCATCGTTGTCCGCCAGCCCTTTCTTGAAGAAAGGCTCTTCCGGAAGGATGTCCTTCCAGGACAAAATTGTGGGCAAAGGCTCCTCGCTAGCCTCATGGTGGTCTGCAGAGTCCTTGCGGGCGGACAGGAGATGGGAAGCCCAACCTAGACTCCGAACTGGACTATCGGACGATAGATATAAAAAGTTGCACAGCTTTCGCAAGGTGATTTCTGAAGAATTCGCGAATGCCCTGTTGCCTCAGCATTCTTTCCTTCTTATTCTACAGATGCAATGTGCATGCTTGTATGTGTGTGTGTATGCGCGTGCGTGCGCGTGCGTGCGCGTGTGCCACCTGAAGAGATGTAAAACTTTACCTGCTGTGCCGTTTCATGTTTTTTCTGCACATCAAATATTGAGAGCACGGGGCGACAAGGTCGCTGCATGGCTGTCGCCAACAAAGCCCGACTAAAGGATATGATGGCTGATCACCGCGACGTACCTGCCTTTGCATTGTCATTTTCCTTCAGAAGGCACTGAATTCCAAATGTCCTGCATGCCGACCGGCTAAGCGTAGAACCGGAGAATCTGAAGAATCCATCCAGGATGGAACTTGGCTAGAAGGAAGAGATGGGATATTTGATATACCTTCCATTCTCGTTTTAGGGTTTTTCTTCTGCTGCCGTTTTGTATGGATGATGCATTGCAGTGCAATTTTAATATTCAATAGAAGTGCCTGAGCAAAAGTGTGTGTGTGTGAAACGCCGGAAAACAAACGTAAAACTTCGACGGTGGCGCAGTATGTATTATATCTTTATAAAAGCAAGGGATCACCGGGGTTCCGGGGGGGTCGGTGATCAACGAAGACATCTCCTTGGGACCCGTGTGCACGTACATGTTGGGCTTTGGTGGTGCACCTGGGCGCATTCAAGTCGCACCTGGTGGCCACCATAGCCTCTCAATCATATATAAATATTCATTATTTTCTGGTCATTTACTTCTATATTTCTTGTCTAATTGCACATTATGGGATACAGTACCCAACGGATCACTTTAATGATCCAGTTCTTGTCTAGAGTGTATGTCTGTGCGTGCGTGCGTGCGTGCGTGCGTGCGTGCGTGCGTGTGTGTGTGTTTGTTTGTTATGTCTGTGCATACACACCCTTCTTCCACAGGGCTTTGGTTTTGATTTGAGGCTGTTGGCACCAAAGATTCCGGTGATTATATGCAAGCACCTATACAGATATGTATATAATACATGCTTTGGCTCCACTATTGCTTCGCGTCGGCCTTCTTCCGGCAGGTAGGATTTGTCAAATCTTTGAACTTAAACCCTGCAGAACAAAGTACGCACTATTCGACGGGGCCAAACTGGAACCAGCTTCACTTTTCAAAGCTGGTCCAAGCTGTGTATGCATTACAAGCTTGCGTCTCTGCGATTCATGGGGACACGAATGAAGTCACAAGAGTTGCTTTTTGTCACAAGAGCCATGACACTAGGATAGCAGCTAGCACTGAGTTTGGACTATGTTCCCGCGCGTGCGCCTCGGGAGGGAGCAACGCTTCTTCCTCTGCCTCTGCCTCTGCAACTGCCTCTTCTTCCTCGGGCGGCAGCGCAGGCAATCCTTGGGTTGCCAGCGCCTCACCAAACTTGCGGTCATAGTTTCCGTGCACAGGTATCTCAGGGCGCTCCACATTCTCTTGATCGGAGAGGTCATCATCCAGGGGGAGGCGAAAAATATGTCGAATCTGCAAGGCAATCTCAACCAGCCGGCAGGCAACCTGCAGAGGGCTGCGATCGAATCAGAATGGATCCGAAAGGTTTGGGTGCAGAAGGCTTCCACCATGGACCTCGTTATGAACCAAATAGGTGACACGGTTACACACGTCAGTTTTTCTTCAAAGTATTGAGAGCAGCAGACAGCAGAAGCACACAAGAGCATCTCACCTGCACATGCTCGGCTTTGATAATCAAGGCTCCGTTGGCATCGAAGTGTCCACCGCCCCCAGCCAGGTCGAGGACGGAAATGGCTGCAGCAAGTTGCCCCTGGAGTCCGGCGGCATTTGCATGCATCGCTTCATCGTCACCTGTCGCAGCTTGCTGGGCCCTCACAGATTGCGCCACTTGATTGCCTGGAGGCAGCGCGGCACAAGCATGTAGCCGACAAGACACAATCAAATTTGGCAGGCGCCAAAAAAAGTGGCGATGCAAAAGTAAAAACTTCTAGTGCCCAGGTGCCCAAGAGCAGCCTGCGCCCCTCAGATTCCATTTCCAAGACGGAATGTGGACGGTTGCGAAAATGCTGACAAACACGCTTCGCTCCTTCCCTGATGTGATCAGTAGGATCTGCCAGAGTCCATCTGCTGGAGATACGAAATTCTGTGACCAGAGCCTGCGTCTCTCCTGCGAGATCGCTCCACTCGAAACTGAAAGCAAAGTTTCTAAGGGAGGGCATGGTTGCAGGTATCTGGTGTAATTGATAAAAGAATCTTCTGTGAAAGGTTTGACTTGAATGAAATAAAAAGATTGGTCCATCCAAAGTTATTGGGGCCTGGTTGACGCACATAGCGCACACGGGATGGCACCCCATCTGGCAAAACCACCGGAAAACCATGTGGCGGGCCCTCTGTTTCAAGACCCGGCTGGTCAATGTCTTCCACATCATCATCCTCAGTCACCTGGAGGCTACCGGCTTGCTTGAAGTATGCCGGGTTGTTCAGCAAGTCTTGCCACTGAAACACCTTGGCCTGCAAGGGAGTGAGCGGAAGCCAAGTGTACCGACTTCCGCTGCTGGACGTAATGTGAGGAGGCAATTTGTCATGGCGTGCAACAGAGTGGTCTGTAACCAGCAAGAACCTCTCTTTGCACGCCACTGTGTGATTTCCGATGAGCCCACGTTCCATAGCCACCACCCTCTTGGGATGCCCATTTCCCAAGACACTTAGAGAAATTGGCTTTGCTCGAACACCTTCGCCGTAGTTGGTGGATGTGCGTGTGGCGCGCTTAGTCCGACCCTGGTTGATCAATGTGTTCAGCATGGAGGCATGGGGATTCACACCAGAAGTCTTGTCGCCGGTTAATCCAAAGAGATCCCAAAATTCGTAAGCTTCGTCGCAATTTATGCATTGGCCCCACCACAATCTAGTGGTCTGGACGTCGCGCTTTGAAGCGCCTACCTCGGCAAGGCTGGTGGCAAACCGAAGCAAAAAGAACACTTACTGCAAGCACTCTGGATGTAAGTGTAGAAGCTATAAGCAGACCTTCCATACTCAAAGTGGCGAAAAAAAATCATTCGTGCTAATCGAATCAATGTCTAGAAAATCTCCGTTCTGTTTGGGTTCATCACAGATGTTCTGGTGCTACACAACGGTGACGCCGACATGCTGGAAGACATGAAGTTACAAATGGTAGCGCGACATGCAGCATGAACATGAAATCGCAACGCCCTTCTGATTGAGGCCATGCCCGGCCTGCACCTGTGGGTAGTCACAGCTGCACCGAAAGAACATTTCGGTGGCTGTGCACGACTGAATAGCCATCGATTTGACTTGCACCGGCAATTCATCTGCACCCTCTGGCTGAAGCGCACGCGCATGCTCATGTGCCATCTGCTCAACAATGTCGTCGCAGACTTCCATCAACACCTCACATGTTTGGAACAATCTAGATTTGCCCCGTTGGGGTGGTGCTATGTGAAACACCAAAAGGGCCAACGGTGAGGCTTTCTGCGTCCACAGACGAATTGCAGCTCCGTTTGTTAAGCACGGCATTGCCCCACAGAGCATCATAGTCGTGACGTATGTTCCCTGACATGTTGCAGTGGAAATCGGTTGAACGAAGTCGCGTATGGCTGCGGGTAGGTGGCTCTCATCAAAATTGGATTCCACTACTGAAATGGCGTTCTTCATGAGCGCGTCCAGCTCTGCAGAAGAAATCTCATCTGCAAGCTTGTTCGACATCTTTCCAAACCTGAAATTGAACTCGCAAAAGAGAATCACGGTCTAGAGGTTTTGTTCAACAAGGCAAATGTCCCAAAAAAATGCGTTCTTCGAGTGACCCCAACCAAGCGGCATTCTATCTGACATAAATTTTGACATTCTCTTTGGCATTCTACCTGAAGTTTCATCCAGCATTGAACCTAATATTCGGACATTATATCTGATAGTGAGCCTGGCATTCTATCTGGAAAAGGTTTTGCCATTTTATCTCACATCCTCTCTGGCATTATTGCTATCTGACATATACTCTTGCATTTTATCTGGACTCTGCCATATATGTTGATATTCTATCTGTCTGGCATCCTCTCTGGCATATATTCTGGCATCCCATCTGGCCTGCATTTTTGCAATCTATCTGACATTTTATCTGGCATTCTGTCTGAAGTTTTATCTGGCATTCTTTCTGGGACTTCCATGTGACAATTTATTTTTTTTACATATCTGCATGTGGCATCATCTGGCATTTCATCTCACATGTCTTCGGACATTCTTTCTGAGATTTTATCTGCTCTAATATAGAAACATTCCATCTGGCATTCTTTCTCACATTCCTTCTGGCACATGTCGGGGTCCGTGTATGCCCATATAGTGATTTGGAGCTCGCTATCAATATTATCAATTTGAAATTCAGCGCGTGCCTCTGTAAAGGCTTCGAGGCTTAAAAAGCTAGAGACACTGACTTGGCAGGTGGGGAATGATGCGACAGAAGCAAGTTAACCGAGGAAAGTTCACCCGCGCCGAATTGGAATGGAGAACTGCATTGGTTTCGCAAGTTAAGACTTTTTTGTTGGACGGATACATTCCGGAAAACATCTGGCCTGTATTCAGCAAAGAATCCCGAGGAAGCTTTCCTGCAGCAGCGGTTTAATGTGATTCAAATGGGCTGCAGAGAAAAAGGACGGAATGAAGAGCGTGTAGTAAAAACAGATTCGAGAAAGTGTTGGATACCCCTAGCCACACCGACCTGCCAGGACTGCAGTGGGTCCTCCCAACTACAGGGTTCCCAACCCACAGAGGGCCGTATGGTTTAAGGAGTTTTTCATCAACAAAAATGGCGTTGTCGCTACAGCGAAACGTCTTTTTTTTTATCATGTTGACGTGAAAAATAGGGTTTTGAAAATCTCCAAAACTACTTCGTTTTTTGACATAAGTTCGTGTTTTCCTTTGGAAAATTGAAAGCGCACATGCAAACACATGTCAAAACATAAACTAACTATAACATAACTATGGAGCCCGAACCCCAGTGCGTATCCCCGAAAAAAAAATATATTAATGTCTTCCCGGGGTCTCACCATTCCCGAGTCCCTGCAAAGACATTTTATCAGGGGTTGTATCCCAGTCTAAGCTATAAATGTCTTCCCGGGGTCTCACCATTCCCGGGTCCCTGTAAAGACATCTTATCAGGGGTTGTATCCCATTACAAAATATATCTAAAACACCACTCCAAGATGACCATAGCGTAGCATGACTATAACATAACAATGAAACCCGACACGACTACGTATCTGCGAAAGAATATATATATATATAATGTCTTCCCGGGGTCTCACCATTCCCGAGTCCCTGTAAAGTCATCTTATCAGGGGTTGTATCCAATTATAAAACAAATCTACTACACAACCCCAAGCTAACCATAGCGTAGCATGACGTGTGTGTGCAAGTGCAAGAGAAGATAACCATAACGTAGCATGACGTGTGTGTGTGTGCAAGTTGACATGAACGTCATACATTGCCCCACCCCACCCCACCCAACCCCACCCCAAGATATAACAATAACATAGCATGACGTGTGTGTGTGTGCAAGTGCAAGAGAAGATCACCATAACGTAGCATGACGTGTGTGTGCAAGTTGACATGAACGTTTTTGTCCCACCCCACCCCACCCAAGATAACCATAACATAGCATGACGTCTGTGTTCTAGTTGACATGAAAGACCATCAAAAAACAAAAAAATGTCAAAAAATGCTTAAAACACCGCGGTCTTGTATGGGCCGGGCTCCAACTACAGCTCCTCTCAGATTATGTCATGATGCGGCATGTCCAAAGCATTTCATTGACTGCACAAGCCACACATGGTCTGGCCTGTGTCGCAAATCAACGACAGCACAGCAGCGGTGCCAAACTTTCGATAGCCTGTACCCGCAGGCGTGCAAGTCGGTTACATGTGGTACGGCAGCAGCCGCCAAGAGACAAAAGGCAGAAAGGAGCGGGGACGTAGGAAACACATAGCAGAAAGAAATCGATTGACTCTGTCGCCAAAAGCAAAGGAAAAAACATGTCCAAATACATGTTTCGGTACCAAGGCCGCAACGGATCATGACATCATGGCGCTTCGCAGTTCTGCACAAACGGCCCCGCCTTCTTCCAGGCACAGACCAATGACGGCACCCCAGCGCAGCCACCAATGGCAGCCAACGGGTGTTTGCAACGATTATATAAACGTAACTGCACAAGATGAGACATCACTGATCACAGAAAACGTGTAAATATCATCAATAGAATTTTAGAAAGGGCAGATAGTCACGGTAGTTGACACCTGCTTGTGACTGTTGGATGCTCAAACACTTGGGCCCTAAAAATCAAAAAATGGCACGGTGTGCCCTGCAGAGCCAATGAAACATCTGAATAGTTAGTATCTCTCATCGACATCATCAGCATCCCGACCACAACCACTATCACCATCACCATCATCATCATCATCATCACCTCCACCATTAACATTACCGTGGAAACATGGGACGTTCAGCTGAAAGTGAATATTTCGGAGCTGCATTCACTTGCGTTTTTTAAGCACAATTGCGATTGGCAGCAAAAACGAACGTTAATTCCTTGCAAACATGAGTTAGAACAGAAACACCTGGTTATGCATGTTCCATGTCAAAATCCACCACAACCATAAGGTTGAGCGCATGAGAGAAGTAGCATCAAGAGCGTGTTGCGTGGTTGCTTGAGAACATCGAGGGCGTAGCATCAAGAGCGTGTGACATGCTGCTTGAAATAGTTAAGCGCGTAGCACCAAGAGCCTGCAAGTTGCTTGAGAAATTTCGGAACATAGCGCCAAGGAACCTCTTTTGAATTGTTCAGAAAGTTGAGGGCCCGAAAAGGTTAGCACCAAGAGCGTGCAGTAAGTTGCTGGAAAAAGTTGAAAGTGTGGGATCAAGAGTGTGTTGCCAGTCGCCTGAGAAGCTCAAAGAGTAGCAGGAAGAGTACGTTGCAAGTTGCTTGAAGAGGTTCAGAACGTAGCATCAAGAGCGCGTTGCAAAGCTACCTGGGAAAGGAAAGAGCATAGCACCTAGCACCATGCAGGAGCGTGTCGCAAGTTGTTCGAAAAAGTTAAGAAGTTCGCATCAATTGTTTCTATAACAAACGCAGGAAACAGGTGGCCGGCTGGCCGGATGGCCGGGTGGCCGTGGCCGGGTGGCCGGGTGGCCGTGGCCGGGTGGCCGTGGCTGTGTGGCCGTGGTGTCCGTGGCCGGGTGGCCGGGTGGCCGGGTGGCCGGACGGCCGGGGGGGGTGGAAGGCGTGGCGGGCGTGGCCAGTGGTGGAAGGCCGCGTGGCAGATGGCCGTGGCCGTGGCCGCGTGGCCGGGTGGCCGTGGCCGGGTGGCCGTGGCCGTGGCCGGGCCGTGGCCGGGATGGCCGGCAACTAAAAAAATCTATTGTGCATGGTTTAACCATCAAAAGTGGTAGTTTAACCATGAAAAATGGTGGGTTAACCATCAAAAATGGTGATTTCAGCCAGAAAAATACATGAAATACCTGTGTATTGAATTAATTAAACCATGCTATCTTTTTAATTCAGAATTTCACCCAGTGAATTCATGCGGTAGCGAGTTGACCTGGATAATTAAGCACCAAACCGGGCAAATCTCGATCTAATCTCCACTAACCCACATTAGAAATATTGGTTCCATGTCTCTCAGCAATGGCCCAACTGATTTTGGGTGAATGGCAGAACCAGATAACCAGGAAATGGAGCATATCAGGGGAAAATTCCCGATATAGTGAGGGACGCCGATCACATGATCACCGCTGATCCGTACAATTCCCAGTACGATTCCCAGCGCTCAAAGAATGCACCACGAAAATCTGCAGAAAACTCCAAGATGTCTGCGTGAAAATCAAGTTTTCCAACATGTTTTCCCCTGTCAATCCATGATGATAGTGATGGAAACAAAGAGGTACCAGGTGCACCAGGTACCTGTTCAGAATATGATGAAGTGTTGAAAGGCTCCGTAGAAGATACTCCCCCAATCAAAATCAATCAAAAGGCTCTGGTTTTTTCATGGCCTTCCTGGATAGATTGGGGGCAATGAAACACTCCAGAAATGTCTGAAGTGGGATCTTCATATTTTGCCCACGGAAATTTGCTGAATCTTTGGGATCTTCCTTGTTGAGTTCCACGTTTTCGTTGTCCATTGTTTCATCTCCATACTTAGACATCCGAGGAATCAGTGGATCACCAACGACATGTAATTGTTCATATCTGAATTAAATACAGAACTCAAAAACATTGGGGAACTCACCATTGTTAGAGTACATCTTGCTAGTAACTCGTCTTCGTGTTGGGAATAGTTGGACCTCTGCGGATTGCCAAGCGTCGGAGTAGTGTTTGAAGCTTTCAATCTTTTGCACAACCACTACCTGCGGCGCTGGAATATGACAAGGGAGATCATCAGTACAGGTACTGATAGGGAAATAAAGAATTGTTGAAACATCTTGAAACAGCCAATCGATCATATGTATGGTTACTGTATATGTATGGTTATATGATGTTATATGGCTTATCATAATCCCATCATAATCCCGAATCAATTACATTCAATTACCATCTGGTTATGACTAACAGTTCGCCATGGAAAATCCCTTAATTATAAATGGAGGTTTCGTTCGCTGGGAAAATCATCTATTTCGATTAGGGCCATAAATTTTCCATGGCTATGTTAGTCATAACCAGAGGG